CAACGTTGAAAAGGGGAGAGGAGGATATTTTCACCGCGCTTCCCACAAGGTGTTCCAACTATTTTGTCGAGGATTGTAGCTTCATGGAACCCTTTTATTTTTCTAACTTAAAAGTCTGGAACCGCACACATGTGGATATTGCTTATACGCTCTAGATCTATTGCCATCAACACCATTTCATAAATATATTTTTCATGGGTGGGCATTTCGCTCTCTTAGCTGTGATGAAAAAAAAAGAAGTGTACTCCCGATAGCAGTAAAAAGACTACCCTATACGAATAATTACTGGTATGAAAATGGACAACGTACAATGTACATGTACCTCGCATAGTGTAATTGTAAGGGATAAATTACAGCATTTAAGACCATGATTTTTATTTCGAGTTTAGAAAACTTTGTCAAAATCCTTGGAATTCTATTGTCAAGGTAGGAACATTTCATTAACCAATCATATCAAAATAGCCCCACAAGGTTTTTTATAATTATTATTATTTTTTGGGGGGGATGATGCCTTTATTTATTTGGCGTATATGTATGCTAGGGTACCCAAGCAGCACTTACTGTACATGGCATGTAAACAGGTCAGCATGAATGAACATTAATATTCTAGCAAGTCTGGACACATTCATTAAGTTACCAAAGGCTGACAAACATGTACTCGGCATTAATCAAGGTCTGGCAAGTCAATACAGTGAGTGGGCCTCGTTCATAACTCTCAAGGGCGATGTGACTTTAATTACACACTGTCAAAAGATGTCACTGCAACGGTTGTTGCAAAAATGACTGGGACCAGTTATGAACAGCCCGAATGTAGGTCAGTTTGAAGAATGCAACATCCTCCCCGTGATATCCCTGTGTAGGCTGTGTTGTCTGATAATGCAAGCTGTAGTGTCTGGGGTGGCTCACTTGATTTGCATACTGTAGAAGTTGGAACAAATATGACCTTTGCTGTTTGAACTAAGACCCCATTGACTACCCTCTCTTGAAAAATGAGGCCTCGCGCCTCCCATCCCCCAATGGAATCATAGTTGATAACTACATCCTGATAAGTAAATTTAAGACAAAAGAATTAGAATGCTGGTGTGCACGTGCATGTTTTGTTCCTTCATAGTTAAGCATAATCAGTTGGCTATAATTCTAGTCTTGATAAGCCTTTTGCAAATTAAATTTGAATAAAATCTGGTACACTGAGTTATCTAATTGCACACAAACACGACAATTTGAAATCCCCAGACTAAAGATGCTGTTGCTATACCGGTATTAATACCTAGTGATTCGGAGCAAACTTTTACATAGCGACCACCATCTCTGGAATGGACTGGTTCCTTTGTACCCTTCTTATCCATTGAAAACAGTGTGTTGGTGCAAGGCATCTCTTATGAATCTAAGCAAAAGCTTGCCCCAAACCATAAGCTTTAGCATCAGTGTCTTTAGTATGGAGAATTCAAACTGTTAAAGTTCACATGCATTTAGAAAAGTCAACGTACAGGAACCATATTTCATTCAAATGTAACTCGCAAAAGGCTTAGGCCTATTAGACCAGAATGGTGTCCAAGGACTGGGACCGAGCATCTATCAGAACTGGGCACATGGTACCCTCAGAACTGTGGGGTTTGTCATCCACCAACGAACCCCACAGTTCTGGGGGTAGGCACATGGGTGTCCAACTGTTTATATCTACGGAATAACCATTTCCAAGTTATGGGACTGGGCACTTGTAACTGACATTAAAAACAGAAACCTCTCAGACAGTAAAAAAGTTAAGATGCACAAGTTTTGTTGAGGAACTTTAAAATAAAAACCACTAAAAAATGCATAATTACTAGTGTAGTGGTAATCCACACACTCTCATTCTGCAACAACAATGTTGATAAATACAGACAGCAATAAGTTTGTAATTACATGTATGTCAGAAGGTTGGTGAGAAGCATTTTGGAAAGGATAAAAGTGAATGCTTTTGCACAAGTTTTTTTCATATTTTCTTTCCTTTGAATTTTGGAAAGGGAGTTAAGGGTGTAGTGCTTAGGTATCTGCGCTTTGTTCTGTGGGGCCCAGTTCCTGTAATTTTCAGTAATAATAATGTGCATGCGTGCCTTCACCAAGCGCAAACTTCCACAAGATGAAATTCTTTGACTTTACTCTCTGGCGCAGAATGTTGAAGAAGAGTCTGTTTCAATGTCTGAAGTGAGTCCTTAAACTTGCCTGTAACCCTTGAGACCCACGGTAATCACTGCACTCCAAGAATGTTGGAAGTTCTGTTACCGATAGCTCAAATGCAAGAACGGTGAACATGTACATCCAACTTGGCTTTGTTTCATGTGCATTTATGCACTACAGGCGTCAGTCTGAAAAGATCCGCGCATTTACGTACAATGCACAGCAAGTACAATAACCTACTCAACTGATACCAGCAACAACGAGCAAGTTGATAAAGATGAAATACAAGTTCAAATACATAAAGTTCTCTGATAGAAAACTGCATACTGCTACCTGTACATGTGTTCAATTGTTGATGGTGTGGGTGCCTTTTGTTCACATTTGAGGAGGAAACTACCGTATCATTCATGCAATAAGATGGGATTTTTTTTTTTGTACACTCTCATGGGGTTTGATCCATCCATTTTGTTCTGTTGTTCGTTCTTTTTAATTTGTGTTTGATCCCCTGGTTTTTGTTTGTATATTTATTTTTTGTACTTTACTTTTTCTATCTGGCGTGTCCATTTTATGTTTTTATTCTGGTATTTGTATATTTGTATTTTAGTGCAATTTTTATCACATTTTATTTTTTTTTTATTTTGAACAGGGGTCCGGACAAACACTTCACATACAAGTAGATGACAATTTTATACTTTTGCTTGTCTTTGACAGCCCTTGTTCATTTGATTGTAAATTACATAAATAAGCAGAACAAAGGCTGGAATAATAGATGCTTACCACGTGCTTGAATCATTGGCCGTCAATTAACCTAGTGCATTCAACTTCCAGCAGGGCACCATGGGAGCATAAATTGTCATTATGACCACAGTTCAATGAGACGGTCACTCACATGTAACATAAGTGTACACACCATAAGGGTACCTCTTTGCTACTTCTGTAGTCAACCACTAGTCTTTCAATAAACCTGCTCTAGATTACTGAGATCAATATCACTCTGGTGATGAACGAAGCATTAGATTTCAACCTTGAACATGGTACTGTTATTATTCATGCGCATGGTTGTTTGTCATTAATAAACAACTTGCCATGCTTACCTTGTTTTCCAAGTGTAAACGCTTTATTTTTTCCTATCATTACCTGTAGCTGTAGGCTACTTATTGCATAAAAATTTAGGGAAGAGTTCCATATATATATGGACGCCAGTAATTATTCCCTAAAAGTGACCCATTAGCCGTCAAAAGGCAAAAACATGCCCAGAAAAGTTCATTTTAGGATGGAAAATACCAAGTCGTTTACTGAGAAAACACAATTTTTCAGTCCAGTCTCACACTAGGGTTTGTGCAAAGGGTGTCAAGTGGTATCCGTATAGGCATGGAAGTATACCTCCATGGTATAAGGAACTCTTTACCAAATTTATGATACATGTACTTTGCTATTTATACTCACATTATGACATGTATGTTTATTCAAACAACTTCAATCAGACTTTATAGAATTTAGACAGGCCAACTACTAAAAGGGGTATCTAGGGGGATCAACAGGGATCATGCCCCCTCTATATCTAACCCCCCCCAAAAAAAAAAGAGGGAAGAGAGTTTGTTTTTCAAAAAAGAGAGAAAAGCAATTTTTTGGGGTATAGGCGCCCATTTCCTTTCCCTTCATAAGTTCCCTAAAAGCTTCCAATATATAGCCTCAACCCTCTGAAACTTGTGAAAGGTTATACCCCCCCCTTGCAAGCCATGTAGGCTTACATGTATGTCATGCTATGTAACGCAGTGTGCACAAGGAGTCCACCGCCCGTGGTCCACCCCCCCTCACCCACCACGGCCACAGCCGGCCGAAACCCCCAGCACAGTCACAGGGGAAATCTTTGGTGTCATGGTTTCAAATCTAGGCCTACACACTTCTGCCATAAAGTGCCAATGCAATACTCACCACACATACAACTGTGTCAACGTTCCACGCTTCTCCAGCAGTGGCACGTACGTCCGAGTGTTGTTATCCTCCGGAAAAACGCCCGTACCGGGGAAGTTCAAAATGTCAACAACTCCACAAGCGGTCTCACAGTGATCCAGTTGCCACACGGCCAGAAGTCGAGCAGTGTGTAGCCACCGTGCTCTTACCGCACACACCACAGGGTACCGGGCGGGACGTACGCACGAGTGACTCGCCCGAGTGTACCTACGGTGCACATCACCTCTACGAGTTCGAAAATAGACTTTATCCGCGGCGCCGCGCTCAGCTGGTTCCTATCCTGGACCTTCCGTTATTTACCTTGTCAAGCCCAAAAGCGCAACTGGGGGCTACTTATTGGTGTCATAATTTTTTCTTTGGTCCGAACTCCAACCCAAGTTGACATCGTCCATTGACGAAGGGATCCTACAGAGAAAATGAAATGAATGAATGCATTTATCTACATATATATACATATATAATACAATCCGAGTCACATGAGATATTTAACATTTAAAATTTATTATTCGTTATTTTAATTCGACATTTACACGATGTTTAATTCGCTTGGGCTTCATTTTATAGGTCTGTAGCTCTTCATTTACCATTTTTACCGATGGATATGCAGTACTGTGTGGCTGGACGGTTTTCGTCTATCTTAGCTATTTTTCTCAGTTTACACCTCACAGTCTGCCTTTGAGTGCCAACCACCACCACCAACTTTTAAACGAGTGGATTCGGCTTAGACTTCAGTTTCGCCGGTTCCAGTCCAAGCTTGATTATGTGGTTTCGAACGCTGCTTCAAAATGGCTGGAACCAGCAAAACCAAAGTCTAAGCCGAATCCACTCGTTTCGAAAACGCTCAGAATTTCGTCTGCTTTTCCTCATAGTACGTGCGCACATTGAGGGCGCTGCGCAGCATGCACTGAACACGATCATGGCTGAAGTTCTTGAAGTCACGACGGCGGGTATGATGACTATATTTTTGATATTTATTCGAGTAGGCCTACTTCACTCGTTTCATTGCATTTTGATATGATTGTATTCACATTGCCAC